GTAAGAACTTATTCACTATGTAAGAATTTGTTCACCATGTAAGAACTTGTTCGTTATGCTTCAGAAGATTGGAGCCTGACGAGAATTAGGCTGGGGTGGATTAATGATTGTGCATTGAGCATTGACTCCCCTATACAGAATTTTATTGTTGTTAACAACCATTTGATCAATAAATATGAGAGATGCCCTCTCAAAAAAAAAAAAATGGGCAAAGGACCTGAATAAACATTTTTCCAAAATAAACACAACAAATAGCCATAGACACATGAGAAGATGCTTAACATTGCTAATCATTAAGGAAATGCAAATTAAACCACAATATGATACCATTTCACACACATTAGGATGGTCATAACAACAAAACAGAAAATAACAGGCACTGACAAGGATGCAGAAAAACTGGAATCCTTGTGCACTGCTGCTAGGGATGTAAAATGATGTGGCTGCTACGGAAAACACAATGGTGGTTACTTAAAAAGTTAAACACAGAATTACTATGTGATTCAAAAATTCCACTTCTGTGTATAAAACCAAAGGAATTGAAAATAGGTACTTAAACAGATACTTGTAGTCATTACTCACAACAGCCAAAAGCTAGAAGTAACTCAAGATGAAGGTATAAACAAAATATGGTATACATATAATGGAGTATTATTCAGCCTTCAAAAAAAAGTTTTGATACATGTTATAACGTGGCTGACCCTGAATACATTATGCTGAGTGAAATAAGCCAGTCACGGAAAGGGAAATATTGTATGATTCTACTTACATAATGTGATACCTAAAGTAGTCAAGTTCAAAGAGACAGAAAGTAAAATGGTGGCTGCCAAGAACTGAGGCAAGAGGAAATGCAGAATCATTGTTCAATAGGAACAGAGATTCAATGAGATTCAATTTGGGATGATGAGAAAGTTGTGGAAATAGTGATATAATTACATAACATTGTGAATGCACTTAATGCCAATGAATTGTACACTTAAAACAGTAACTTTTATATTACATATATCCTATCACAATAAAAAAAAGTGATTAAAAAAATAATCAGGCCATATTACCAGCTCCTTGAGAGAATGCCTCTTTAAAGGATAGTTTTCCGATGGCCCGGGGCATCCTTCCCATGGCAAAGGGCTCTGAGGATGTTATTTTGTCCTCTTTATTGACGTCAAACCCAGTCCCAGTAATTTGGGCCCCAAATCCAAGCTAACAGCACGGGCTGACAAGCCATTGTTGGAAAGGCTGGGCTTGAGCTTCCCAAGTGAGGCCGTAAATTGCCAACAAAATCAGAAGCCAATCTGGCTACTTTTCACTCTCTATTACTTCTTCTCTCTTTCCCACAGGACACCAGAAGGCCATCATGCAGAAAGGAAACAGGCCAGACCCACCAGGTTGACTTTCTAAAGTTACCAAGTGGAGTCCCTGTTTTCCCCCTATCCCTGGCAAGTCTAGATATTTACTGTCCTTTGCATTTCACGGAGTTGAGGACAGAGTTTTCACCCACCCAGTAACAGCAGAACCAAACACCCCTACCCTCTGTAGTCTCTAGGTCCCTTTCACACAGATTATCGTGTTCTGATCTTAAAGTCACCCAGTGATAATGAATATATAGAGGTGGTTATCCTCCACAGGAGACATGAAGAAACCGGGGCTCATTGAGATAAAGCAATGTCCCAAGTTCCACAGTCCCAAGCTACAGGGCTAGGGTTTGCACACAGGCAGTGAACTTCAGAGTTCTCTTTCCTCTCGATTACTCAGAGAGATGAACAAGCAGGAATTAGACCATTTTGGTGTCAAACAGGAGCAAGGAAAACACTTTCAAATTTGGCAACTAATAGGAGTAGGAGATCCATCCCCAGAGAAACATTCTGGAACAGAATAAGCGCTCTGCTCTTTCCGAGTTCCACCCTGACCTAGAAATGCGGGGTTTTTGCACTCAAGTGATTCCAGCTGGGAGCCCAGAGCACAGTCCTGTACTGCCCTGCCCAAGGAGCCCTTGCGGACAGGGGAAGGTCTGCCAGACATGGAATTTCACCAGGGCTGGAAGGCCGACTAAGTCACGGGAAAAACGGAAGATTCAAGGCGCTCAGGCGCGAACAAATCGTGCCTAAATCAACGGCCATCTGAAACTAGAAGCGGCCCTGGAAACTCACACGGTAAACACCACACACCCAGGACAAAGGGCCTGTGACCCGCGGACCACGCCCACTTGCCTGCGCATGCGCAACGCCGGCTTCAGCGCTCTCGGGGACTGCGCAGGTTAGCAACAGATTTCGTGGGCGGGCACCGACCTACTGCACATGCGCGTCCTCGCAGCTGCTTTTTCCTCGTAGTTCCCTGCCCGGTCGTTCCCTGTTCCGGGTGCGAACGCTGGCTTTCTCAGCCACGGCCCTTCCTTCGCATTCCTCACCTTGCGCCCTGTTTTCTCTCGCAGGGCTTTCAGTCGTTCTTTTCGCCGCAACGCCTCTTCCTCTAGCCGGCCCACACCGGCTGTAGTGGCCGCCATCTTACCCACCCTCCTCCTCCTCTCGTCCGGCAGCGCGCTGGTCCAAGGTGTGGAGAACAGGAAGTCCTGAAAGCCAATCAATGCCGAGTTGCTATAGCCGGGCCCGCTCTCTTTCTACCCCACAACTCTCCTAGCCCTCGGAAGGCAGTCAAACGAAAAGGCTCTAAGGCTCGATTCGTCCAACGCCAATCAGTGAGAAAGCAGCCAGTGAAGTCAGACCTGAGTGAAGGAAGATAGAGCGCGTCGATCGCTCTGGTTTTGCCTAAGTGCCAACCACAGCACAATCCATGCTGGCCACTTGAAATGTGCAGACCCATTCTTGTGCACTTGTCCTGATTCTTCAAGCTTCATGTTTTCAAGAAGCCTTCCCTGACTCTCCACTCCTAGGTCAGCCTGTCTTTTCCTCTCCAACTATCAGTTGCTCCTTGGATGCACTTGTCCACGGGCCCCTAGCCCATTCTCTCTCCACTCTCAGCTCAAAGTCTGTGCGGTACAGGGCTTGCCTGGATGGCCATTTGCCTCGGGGCTCATGGATGATCAGGTGATGCAAAGTACCCAGGGTAAGGCTATCTGACCCGGAGAAGAGCAAACCCCAACCTGGCCCAGTGGGCCCCAAGGAACCCTCTAAGCTTTGTTCGTGAGAACTAGGATGAGAGTTGGTTTCACCTCAACTGCAGTAAATGACCACGAGGTGCACTGCCACCCAGGACAAGCGGCCGGTGTCTTCTTTCCCGCATTAATCAACATGCTCTGACAATTGAAAGACCACTTAGGCTGAAGTACAGATCTAATAGCTTTGGGTGTCCCCAAAGCCACACCCCCTCTCACCTGCGGAGTCAAAGCCATAGCTCCTTAGTCCCAGGCACACCATGACTTGTCTGTGAGCAAAGCTGTTCCTTGACTGGGCCTGCCTTCCCAGCTCCCTTTAGGGGCTCCTGTGCCACAGACCTCTGTCCAGCCTCTCAAAACGACCCCCTTGACCTCACCTGGGCCTTTCAGTAGCCTCTCCCCCACATTGGGTGGGGTGCCCTAGGAAGGCCTGGTTTGCAGGTAGTACCTGGTCCACAGGTAGCAGGTGCTCAGAAAATGTCAGCTCAGAGGTAGGATGGAAGGGGGCATGAGGTACCGTCTCGCTTTTAATTTCTTGACGTTAAAAAGAAAAAATGTGAAGCAAGTGCTGGGTCCTGGGGTACAGACTGCGTGCACCAGAGCATCCAGGAAGGCTTCCTGGAGGAGGGGACCCTTGAGGATTGCCTAAATTTCCCAAGGATATGCCAGACAGGTGGAGGCACTGCTCCCGCAGAGATACTTCAGGCTTGTTTGCTGCTCTCTGATTCCCATCTTGCTCCATAAACAGTAAGAGCAAAAACAGTGGCACTTCGGTCTCTTCATAAAGCTCTGGGAGAGCACCTGCCACGTGGTTGGCGCTACAAGTGTTTGTCATGGTTGTCACCATTGCTTGTTGAAGGACCCCGGCCATTTGCACGCAACCCACAGCCCCTTATCCCCACTCCGCTAGCCTGTCCTTTGCGTGAATGGAGGTAATTCCAGCCAGGCGGGCTGCGTCCGGGCGGATTGAGACCCGGGGCAAGTCTGGAATACCTGACCTCGACTCCGGTCTGGGGGGCTCAGATTGGCCGTTCCCGAGGCACTGGTGGTGGCGCAGACTGCTGAGGGGAAGGATGCGGGGAGCACTCCTGGCTGCCTTGACCTCAGGCTCCTCCTCCCGCCGGGCTCCACGCCCTTTGCACGGTCCTGGGAGAGGCGGGGCAGCGGTGGAGGCAGCTCAGTGCAGGAAGCCAGGCAGCGGCTGGCCGGGAAGGAGGAGGGGCATGCAGACTTGGGTGGCTCAGCGCAGCGGGGACCAGTACTACTTCCCCCGATAGTACCGCGCCGCTCCGCCCCGGAGTGACGCCCTCCGCCCATGGGCTTGGCCGAGGGCTACCGGCGGGCGGCGCGGAGGAGGAGGCGGCGACGGCAGGTGGCGCGCAGCAGGGCCGGAGCTGGGCCGGGCCATGGCCGCCTCGGAGCGGCTCTACGAGTTGTGGCTGCTCTACTACGCGCAGGTGAGCCCGCCCAGCCCCGCGTCCTCCGTACCCCCAGGTCCGCGCGCCCCGCGCCAGCTGCACCTGCGCCCCGCGCTTGCGTTCAGTGATGCTAGGGGTCGAGTAAGTGTGCGCGCGCTCCTGGTGTGCTCGAGCTCCGCGAACACGTGTGAGCCCCCGGCCCGCCGGTGCCCCTGGCACTTATACCTGGGGACGACCCTGGCAGACACGCTTCTAACAAGAGCCTCTCGGGTGGGGACCACGAAGCCTCAGTCCTGCCGGAGGAGAGGGGCCTGGACCAAGAGGGGACACTTACCCCTTTTATAAATGGGGAAACTGAGACCCAGAAAATAAACGAAAGACTGGCCTGGTCGGGAGGGGCAAGAGGGCTTAATTTGCATTTGGGCTTGCCCCTCCTGTGGGTACGGCACCTTTATGTGGTCATGGCCACGGTTCTGAGTTGGCTGGGGGTCCCAGCAGGTGGGGGGGGGAACCCTGTTGTGGTCCGACTTAGGTCCGACTTAAGTCAACTCAGACCCCAACCCCCTACAGTGAACTTGAAGGGATGAGCTCTTACCTGACCCGAAGCTGTCCCCTACCCCTACCCCTGGGGAGGAGATGGGCCTCGGGTGCAGCCAAAAGAAAGGATTTGCTTGGGATGCTAAGAGTGGAGGTAGGGATATGACCTAGGAGGGATGTTTGAAAGACATGGAGGGAAGCTCTTTCCTCTTGAGCAACCTGTCCTGTCTTAGAGACTACCTCAAGTGGCCTCAGAAAGTGAAGGGAGTGACTCTGACCCAGGTGTCCTGTCAGAGCTGAGAACCTGGTGTCCCCCAAATACTGTCTACCCCCACTTTTCTGTCTGCATCCACAGCAGGGAGGGATCCCAGGATAGCACCCCTCTCCCCTTCACCTAATGCCAGCTTCCCTCCCTGTACCTGCCTGGCATCATGCCCCTGGCTCAGGTGTGCCCTGGGCACAATGGACTGTTGTGTGCTCCTGATCTTGTCACTAGGGGGAAGTTTATGCTCAGATAAGCTGGCCCTCTGTGAAGAGGCTGCCCACTGTCTCCCAGGACTGCAGGCCCCATCTGGGGCCCCAGGAACCTGTAATCCGTGCCATAAGGGCCGCAGCTCCTTGAGTCTGCTCAGGTGGTGAGAGGTTCAGGCCCCTGGGAGTAGAATCCCTCTTGGTGTGTCCCAAGGCATGGTCTTCATACCTCTAAGCCTCTGTTTCCCTATCTGCAAATTTGGCACAGCCCTGACCTCAGAGGTGACCTAGACTCTGCAGAGGGATAGCCAGTATGGCTGGTTCAGGCCAGAGGAAGACTCCTGCTTCCTTGGCCTTATTGGGTCTCCTCCCCCCAGCCTCTTTTTCCATCTTCAAGGGTTGGTCCTTGCAAATGAGTAAAAATTTGGAAGGTAACCGCACCTGGCCCTCATGCCTCAGACTGTCCTTGTGGCCATGGGCAAGTTCTCAGTCCTTAATTTCTTCACCTGTGAACCAGGTGAAGTGGGCCTTGAGCCAGCCATTGTGTTTGAAAGATGTTAGTGGTGGGTCTTCAGGCTGGGTGGCATGCTGCTTTGCAGAGCATGTCTGGGTACAGTCCCCCAGGACTGTTCCTCCAGCATGGTTGCCTCCCGCTGCCCCTTGTAGCTGAGCTCTGCAAATTTTCCACCCACCCGCCTGCTCCCTCAGGAGGTGTTCAGCACTGTCCTGTGCTGAGTCTCCCTCTTCCGGTTCCTCACCTCATAGGGCAGGTTTGGGGCAAGGGCTGGCTATAGCCTGGGAGCCTAGACAGGCAGGGGGCGGGCTGGACCCACAAACAAATCCAGGATGTGAGAGTGAACTGGGGAGCCAGGCGGCGCCAGGCCGCCTGGGGAGAGGAAGCCCCAGTCAGCCTCCCTGCACTGCCTTCCTGCCCGCTTGTCCTGCTCCTACTCCCGGAACCTGGGCCCCACCCCTCTGTGCTGGGCTCCCTGGGGGTGGGGGCTGTGCCACTTTGAGCCCTGCTAGGGTACTATTGTGTGTGCGCCAGGGGGAGGGGGTAAGAGGAGGTCAGGATTGGACTGACAGAGGGTGTTAAGAGACCCCTTTTTGGCCAGCCAGCCACCCAACCAGAAGGTTCCCCCACCACCTGTGCCCCTCCCTTCAGCAGTGAAAGCTGACATCAGCTGGCAAACCTGTTTCCCCAGTCATGGATCTAGGCCCGCCCTGGGTAGCACCCCTCTTTCTGCCCTTCCTTTCCCCTCACGGACCCAAGTTCAGAGCTACCCACCCCTCCCTCTGTGGGCCCTGCTCAGCTCAGTGGGGAAGAAGTGGCTGTGGATGGCTACCCAAGGAGGAAGGCCCTAGAGCCCCTGGGCACAGCTCAGTCTGGGCACCTCTCAGGGCCCTAGCGTGGAAACGAAAGCAGGGTCATACCAGGGTCATCAGACTAGACTGAGGGAGGGTCCTGGCAACAGAGCTGCGGCCCACCCTCCATCCTGTGTCTAGTCCTGTGGGCAGGAAGCCTCAGGTGGCTCTGCACCCTGGAATGTTTCCTCTGCATGGAGCCTGTTCCTCCTGTTCAAGGAGGCTTTCCTCTCCTGTGCCTCCAGACCACACATCCCCATTTTGACCCTCATCGCCCTTGCTACCCTGCGACTTCCCTGGTGCCTCACATTTAATAGGTGCCCCTCAGATAAAGCTGAAATGCTTTATGGGGAAGATAGGCCCCAGAGCAGTGACCAACGGGGGAAGTCATGAGGAGGCTGAGCTGGGACCTTGAGGGCTGAGGGCCCAGGAACAGCAGGGGCAAGCACATGGGAAGTGCGAGAGGCGGTTGTCAGGAGTGAAGGGGAATGGCCTGTTGGATGGGTGGGAGCACACCCAGAAGACTCAGCCCAAAGGGTTTCCCCAGGGAGGAGAGTAAAGGAAGGGGTGAAAGGATAAGAGGACCGAGGCCAGCACCCAGCGGGCTGGCAGTTGGGCAGCATGTTAAAGTTATGCAACATAACAGACAAACAAGTGGCCCCCTTGCAGGAGCAGTGGTATTGCTCCACAGCCCCCCCAGTGAAAGGGAGCCCTGAGGGTGCTCAGGGTCACCAAGGTCAGAGTAAGGCCTTCAAGTTACAGGTGGAGAGCCCAGTGTGAAGTCTCTCGTTCTGTCCCCGAGGACTCAGGGTTCCCGGGAGGTCAGGTCAGAGCTGGAGTTGGAGTAAGAACTTGCTCTGCCCAATCCTCCCTGCTTCCCGCCCACCGCCCACACGCATCTCGTGAACTCGGCTACATCATGGAAACCTGGGCAGGCCCTCTGCTCCTTTTGGGACCTTAGGTCCTATTTCTTACTGTGCCTCAGTTTAACCTCTTGAAATGGAAAAAAGGAAGGCGGATAGCCCCCTTGGTGCTTGGCCCCCCTCCATACCTCAGAGGGGCAGCCAGGGTTTCCATTTCCTTACCAGTGTTACCAAGGCAACTGAAGAGGACTGAGGTGATGAGGAGAGTAGTGTGGAGCCCAGGGTTGGGGGAGGCGCTGGTAATCCCTGGTGTTGTTACGGCAATTGAGCTGATGTGGCAGTGTGGGGTCCCCATGGAAACAGGGTCAGTTACTATAGGGACCCTGGAAGAAAATTCTTGGTTTCTACCCATAGTGATAGGACTAGGGGAAGGTTAAGCCCTGAGGGGGTGCTATGGAGATCAGAAGGCCCACCTGGTTCAAGAACCCCTCCCCAGGTAAGGGAAAGAGACTGGCCTAGTCACCTAAGCACTGGACCGTTGCCCTCAGTTGTTCCTGCCCCTGGCAAAGTCCCATCTTCCTGCTTCATTCCTTGGCCTGAGGTCCTCCTAGTCTGACCTTCAATGCCCCTGGTGTAGCCAGAAGCCACCTGTGGCTTGACATTGCCCTCTTCCTCTGATGCTGAGTGGGGAAACCACCCCCAGGCCTGAAAGAAGTCATCCTAATCAGATCCCCCAACCCTGTCCCATTTCTGTTTGTCTATCCCCAGAGATGGGGTGCTCATTACCACCCAGGCAGCCCTGACTAAAAGGAGCCACTAGAGAGCTCCAGTCCTCTCTCACTGCTCTGCTCCTAGCTGTAACCTGGGGCCCACCAACAGAACTCCCATCCCACCTGCCTGGGACAGCCACCTGGGGGGTGGCCCATAAGACCTTGATTCTGTCACTGAGACAAGGTCTGTGACTCATCTGTCCCTCACGGAAGTGGGTGGGGAGAAGATGAGTGGCCCTGAAATGCCAGGAGCTGGAGGAGGCAGAGCCCCTGGACTTGTAGTAGGGCTCCCACACAGCTTACCTGGGGCTGGTGGGTGTGGTCGGAGAGCCTTTACCTGTGAAGCAAAGGGATGGTTTTAAAGAGGCCGCTTTAAAGAACTGCAAAGATAAACGTTAGTGAGAACCAGGTCTGGACTCCAGAACCCATGCCCTCAACCACTGGGTCAATTTGGCAACCCCAGTCTCTGAAGCAGCAGACAGGGTGGGGCTTGGGAAAGGTGCTGGCCCTCAGGAGTGTTTAGGCAGAGGAAGTATGGAGAGCAGAGCACATGCAGACCTGGGGGTGCAGACTGAGTGATGCCCTGGGGCTGGGCAAGCAGTGGGTACCGGGTGCTGAGTCTGGAGATAAGGTGGGCATGGACGTGTGGGGCTTCAGACGTGAGGAGAGGCTATGGACTTACCTGAAAGCTCATGGTCAGCTGGGTGACTGGCTGATCAGACAGCGCTGGTAAACCTTCTGCGGGGGTCAGGTGCTGTTTAAGGAATTGTTGTGTATTGTCCCATTTTAAACTCCAGCAGAGGTGGGGTTGGGAGGCTTTGAGGCAAGCTCTGGGCCCTGAGGTGATGCACAGGGCAAGCCATGGTTGGCATCAGGCTTGGCGTAGGGCAAGCAGGTCTAGGGACAGCATCGTGTCGTGTCCCCACTCACCCACCTGTGCCATAGCCCTTCTTAGCCCTCCTGGGTTTCTACAGAGTTCTGGGGAAGTGGCAGTTTCATGCCTACCCAGGGACTGTTTAGGCCTCACAGCCCTTGGGACACCCCTCCCGAGCACTGAGTGTCCTCAGGGCTAGTTGGGCATAAATTGGGGTACCTGCAGAGGTGACTATGAGACCTCCTCCTTCCAGGGATGTGGACCTCCCCCATACCCACTGCTTTCTGCCCTGCCCCAAGGCCTTGGCACCACTTACCCATGGGCCCCAGGGCCCTGGGGAGGAGTCTGGCCGCTCCTGACCTGCCTTCATGGGAGGGCTGTGTTGGGATCCTGGTCCTGTCAGGCTGGGGTGTGGACTGGGCTGGCCCTGCCCGGTGTTCCACCTGGAGCTGGAAAGGGAGAGAGGAGGCCGAGGCAGTCTCTGAGAGAAGGGTAGAGAGTGCAGGCACCCAAGGCACTCCCTCCAGCGCAGCCGCCTCCCCATGCAGTGCTGCCACCATGCCTGTGGGCCCCTGCCCTTCTCTGACTCCTGGCCTGCAGGGGCTCCTGTACGCCTGAGCATTGCAGCCTCAAGCCATGGGGCCTGCAGAGGTGGGACAGGCAACTGCTGCCTAGTACTCTGCTTTAGAGACCCCCTTTCACCTCCTCCAGAGCCTTGACTGCCTCAGCCCTGAACCCAGCCCAGCCTGGATCTGCTAGAAGTTTGCAGGACTGGAAGGGTAGAGGGTGTCGTTCTAGGGATGGAGAGTGGGAGTGTGCAGAGTTTGGCGGGGCCCATCCAAGTCTGAGGGAGCCCAGCCAAGTAATGGCCACAAGGAGGATGGGAGGTTTCTGCTCAAGTACCAAAAGCCCAAGTCACAGATGGCAGTGGGGTGTGGGGTGGGCAGAGGTCTGGACAGGAGGATATGAATTACAGATGGGGAGGGCTGGAGAAGCAGGCCCTGATTGGACTAGGGACCTGGAATGCTAGGCTCAGCAGTTGAGCCTATCCTCAGGTTGGGGTGGGGAGAAATGGTCAAATTTGGGCTTTCAGGAGCTTAGCATAAAGGACCCACATTTTAGGTGAGAGATGACTGGCTTGACCAACTGTGGTTTTGGGGTAGAAGAGAGGAGGCTGGTGTTGATTTTGAAGGTAGGGATCTGCGGGGTCACTCAGGCAGGGGCTAGGGGTCACATGGTCAGCTTGGGCTGGCTGGCTAGCAACCATGAGTGTTCCTAACCTAGAACAAAGGTCTGGCTTTTAGCATCCTCAGAGCTGAAGCTGTGGGAGTACATGAAGCATCCGTTCTGGAGTACCCTTATTTCCCCATCTGCAGTGGAAGAGTTCAGAAGAAACAGACTTAAGAGCCCTGGCCTACTCTGGTGTTTCAGGGTCTGGCATTTAGGTGTCCTTGCTGGTTGGTGGAGAAGAGAGGTGTGGACAGAGGCAGGTGATAAGGGAGGCTGCCACAAGCAGCGGGTGGAGAGGTCACCAAATTGACTTTCAGACCAACAAGTAACAGTGGTACAGGCCTGCGCCATGGTGGTCCAGCCCCTCTCTGAGCTGCCTAGGCCTCAGATCTGTGACAAAAAGCATAAGCAAGGTGCCCAACCACAGTAGGGAGGGCTGCTCTACCTAGGTGTCTTGTGGGCGTGGCCCCCTCCTATGATACCCATTCAATCCTAGCCCTGTGGTCTGGGGCCCACAGGCAGCAAATATGAGCCATCCATCTAAAGGTAGTTCTGGAGGCCATGGCACCGGGCATGTTGCCTGTGATGTGTCTCTTGCCCCTTCATCCTTCTCCAGTCTAGTCCCCTGTCCTACCTCTCTACCCCTGGGAAAGAAAGGTGCCCTCTGGCCTCAACTGGTTAGTGTGGGAGCTGCAGATGGGCCAGCATGGAGGGACAGAGAGCTAGATGGGAGGAGGAGCTCAGGTCCAGGCCACCACCCACTTCATGCGCTGGGAGAGGCTTAGTGGTTAGGGCAGATTGGAGCTAGGCTAGGAGTTAGTTGGCTGTGTCCATGGACCAGGGACCCCAGGACCAGGTGTTTGCAGGACACAGGAAGGGGGCAGGGCAAAGGTATGGATGAGTTTTCCACACTGTCCCCTGGGCCCTGAGCCCTCGGAACCCTGAACAAAGGACACTATAGCAGCAAGGATCAGAACCTGTCCCCAGATAGGCCTGCCTTGACTGCAGGCCCGTACTTCATGGTTGTAAAACTAGTATCTGGTCTACAGGCCCCACCCAGAGCTGTGTGACCCCGCCCCTGTGTGCTCCAGGCCTCACCCCCATTATGGGGCCAGTTCCCTCTCAGCTTCTGTTGTTGGGCCCTGGGTGCCCTGGGCCCCCCACATCCCTGCGGTCTGCCGGGAGGAAGCGGCCCCCCTCCCCCACCGTGACTCTGCGCTTCCTGCCCCGGTTGGGGTGGGAGGGGACGCTTCCCGTTCACAACAGTGTTTCCCCAGAGGTGCCCCAGACTCTGCTGCCCCTCTTGCCCATGGAACCAGCTCTGGGGCCTGGGGTCCAGGTAACCAGCCAGGGTGGGCGGAGGTTCCCAGGGCGAGGCAGGGCATTCTGCCTTTCCATGTGAAGGATGTGTGTGTGCATGGGCCTGGCTGGTGGTGCATGTGCATCCTGGGATCCACAGTCAAGGGGGGTTTCTTGGAGGTGGTGGCTGCTCGCCTGGGAGAAAGTGGCGGGAGATCAGCCCAAGGCTTTGGATCCAGGGCGGCTTGCTTCAGCTCCAGCACCAGTGTGGGTCACAGCCACACCCCAGCAGTGTGTACACTTAAGCCCCTCCCCTGCCTGTGTCAGTCCCCAAGTATTAGAGAGGTGGGAGCGGAGACTGGGAGGCTGAGAAAAGCAGAGGGAGAACCTGGGAGTGTTGTGAATAGCACAGCAATCCTGTGATGCTGACCTTCTGACTTCCTTTCTTCCGCCTCCCCCACCCATCCCTCACTCTCTTCACCCTCACTGCTCTGCCTCCAATCCCTGTCCACCCTTGGCCGCTTCCATTCACTCTCCACTGCTGCCTGTATTCCCCTGTCCCTCCCCTGTGCACGGCACCCCCCACCTCCATGTTTCCCCAAACTCCTTTGCCTGCAGAAGGACCTGGGCTACCTGCAGCAGTGGCTGAAGGCCTTTGTGGGTGCCTTCGAGAAGAGCATCTCACTGTCCTCTCTGGAGCCATGCAGGTGAGGCTGGAGCTACAAGGAGGGCAGGGACAGGGCAGGGAGACCAGGGGTCCTCAGTGCTCTGGTGATGCCCTTTCTGTAGGCCGGAGGAGGCAGGTGCGGAGGTGCCGCTGCTCCCACTGGATGTGCTGTGTGTGCTGGCCGAGCAGCTGGATGGGCAGGACCTGGAGCAAGCCCTGCTGCTGCTCAAGCTCTTCACTGTTCTCTGCAGGTGGGTCTCTGTGGTCCTCTCCAGGGGGAATGGAGCGTGGAACTGTGGACAGAGGGAGGCTAGCATATTACTGTAACCTCTCCCATCATCCACTCCCCAGGAACCTGGAGAATGTCGAGGCTGGCTGGGGCCAGGTGCTGGTGCCCCGGGTGCTGGCACTGCTAACCCGGTTGGCAGCTGAGGTGCAGTGGGCTCTACCCTGGGACAGTGGTGGTGGTGGTGGTGGCAGGCAGTAGCTATGGGCCAACTAACCCCTTTCCACCCTCTCCCCACGCCTACAGCTGAAAGGCCCCCTCCACCAGGAGGGCCGTGGGCCCCAGCTGGAGAATGTGGCCCTGCATGCCCTTCTCCTCTGCGAGGGTCTCTTTGACCCCTACCAGATGTGGCGGCGCCAGCACAGCAGGTGAGAGCCAGCCTACCAGCTGAGGACCAAGAGGAGGTTGGGGAGAGGCTGGGGGTGGCCTTGTGCAGGCTGGCGAGGGAAGGATGACCACGGAGGGTGAAGTGCCTGGCCTCACCCCAGCCCCTGCCCACCCTCCCGCCCCCCAGGGAAGTCATCAGCTCCAGGGAGAAGAGCCAGTACAAGTTCCCTCCAGCCGCTTTGCCCTGTGAATTCAGAAACTTCTTCCGAGGTCAGGCGCTGCCCCTGCCCCGCCTGGCCCCGCCCCCAAACCCCAGCCGCTTCTTGCGGTTCCCCTCCCCATATGCAGGACCGGACCCACTTCACAGTGGCTGTACATGGGGCTGGGGGGACCACAGGAATCTAAGGGGCCTCCAAAGGCCCGTGGGATAATAGGGGCAGAGAGGAGAGGAAGGGCATGTCTGGGCTAAACGAGCCATTTCTGGGCTGGAGTGGAGGCCTCCCATAGGGTACAGCGGGTGAATTCCTCCTCCCCTTCCCTCCGGCTCTGGGTCTGCAGCCACGTACACTCCACTCTGATCTGCACCATCTTAAAACTCCCTGGTCTTATTTCTTTGTACCTGTAGCCTCTACCCAGCCTCCACCCTTCCTCAAGACAATGTCTAAACTAGGCGTCTAGGTGTGTCTGCGTCCTGCTCCCTTAGGAGGAGCCGACTCCCAGGACATTTATGGCCTCCTGTTCTTCCTGGGGACCCTCTTCTCCCGCCCCCATGCCCCCGCTCCTCTCATTAGAGGGAGACTGGCCAGGACGTTTAATGGGCTCAGGGCAGGATGCTGCCTGGACAGGGGCAGGCTGGGCTTGGGGAGGCAGTGATCTTGACCTGTTGGGATGGAAGGTGTCTCAATGTGTCTGAGATGCCCCGTGTAGCTGCAGGCCTGGGTCTGGAGTGGGGGCAACAGCTCCAAGAGGGGAGACACCTGTGGGTAGCTCCCTGCCTCCATTCTCCCATAGCTTGAGTACTCTTTTCAAAACACACTGGATTTTGTTCCCCCTGCTGTAAATCCCTCAATGGCGGCCTGATGCCCTCAGGATCAAATCCTGCTCTTCCCTGCGGCCTTCTTCTTTTCCAGTCCCACTTCCTCTCTGCACCCCAGCCCTGGTCCTGTCCTCTCATTCCTGGAATGCAGCTAGTTATCCTGCCTCCGGGTCTTTGTCACTCTGCTTTCTCTCCCTTCACACACCAGCTGCATCCTCAGGCCTCACGTTTAGACCCCTGCCCCTCGGAAGACCTTCCACCCCACCCCATGTGAATCAAACCAGCCCTGGTCTTGCCTTCACCACCCCGACTCATGTGACCCAGGACTGATCCTTTCTGCTCTCTGGGTTTCAGTCTATGTATGGCCTGGCATCCAGTCCAGCTTTGCTGGAGCAGGGCCAGGTGGGCCTCCCACAGAGGAGGCTGTGAAAGCCCCTAGAAGTCCCAGTGGGGGAATGGGTGGGGCTGGGGGGCATCTGAATGACAGATACAGCGAAGGCCCCAGAGCAGGTTATGGGATGCTCTAACCTTCACAGACCAGAAAGACCAGGAAATTTGTATCTGAGAAACCAAGCCCTAGGTTGCCATAGGGAAGTGGGTAGGGGGATTGGTCTCTGATTTGGGGATTAAAGATCTGGGGATTAAAGATCTGGGGAACTGGCTAGATTCTCAGGGCAGGGCCATGTCCCCTTCAAACTCCCCCAAAGGAAAGCTGTGCCTTCCTTAGACCCCCAGAATAGAGCCATGACATTTCCGACCTCCTGGTACAGAACCAGGTCCTTCCCTCAGATCAGGAGGGGAGGACCTGGTTCCTTGGCCTGCCTGTTCCTTGGCCAGCTCCCCACCCTACTCTAGGGCACCCACTTCTGTGTAGTCTCCTGGATCCACAGCCCTGCAAGCTTGGTGACATTGGCCTGCCCTGCCTACCCCACTCTATCCAGAGAGTCTGCAGGATGCAAATCGCTTGCCCCCCAAGCTGCTGTTGCGTCTCATCCACCTCTTTGGTGCTGTCCTTGCAGGAGGGAAGGTAAGATGGGAGGAGCCTTTGGGCTGGAGGGCAGCTGTCTCATGGTCTCTCTGTTGGGTGAACCCTTGCCCATTGCCCCTCTCTGCCCACACCTGCAGGAGAACGGGCAGATGGCTGTGAGTCCTGGCTCTGTTCAGGGCCTGTTGGATGTGGTCCGGGGCTGGGGCTGTGGGCCAGCCCAGGACCCCCGCCTACTGCCGCTGGCACTGGAGGCACTGGTGGGTGCAGTCCATGTTCTGCACACCAGCCGCACACCCTCCCGCGGGCCTGAACTCCGAGGCCTGCTTGAGGGCTACTTCTGTGTCCTTAATGCCGACTGGCCAGCTGGGCCGAGTCCAGGCCCTGAGAAGGCCCTGGTCACCCTACGGGTCAGCATGCTAGGTGGGTATGGGCTCCCTCCTGGGGAAGGAGTGCTAGCTGGGGAAGGCCCAAGTGCTGGAAAGGCTGAACTGGGCTGCATGGGGAAGAAGTTTCAAGGCTGACTGGAGGTGCTGCTGGGAGGGGATCGGGCTCACCCCTGGCCCCTCCACAGATGCCATCCCCTTGATGCTGGCATGTGAGGACCGGCCAGCGCTGCAGGCCACTTTCCTTAGCAACAATTGCTTTGAACACCTTACTCGCCTCATCCAGAACAGCAAGGTGGGCAGGGCCCAGGCTGTGGGTGGAAGGCCTGGAACTCAGATCCTGGGGGTACCATCTATGTGTGCCCAACTGCTTTTGAGCAAACTTGGGCTAGACCAGGCAGGGGGTGTGTGGCAGGTGGGATGGCTGGGGGCTCGGGAGGCTCTGTAACCCACAGGAGGGAGGTGTTTTGGGAGGAAGGGAGGTGCTCTGCCCCTTTTTTACCCTTTCCCCAGTCCTAAGACCACGGGCAGGAGGAGGGCCCAGCTGTTCTGCATGCAGTGCCCACTCCTGCCTGCTCATCCTCCACCTGCTCTGAGCCCTGAGTGGGGCACAGGAGGCTCAGCTCCCCACCTCTTCCCTGGTGCCTGGCAGGACAGTCAGCCCAGGCCTCAGGACATCCTTTCTGGGGCAGAGCCCTGGCAGCTGCCCAGGTCCTGCTCTAACCCCGCCCCTCCCTGTCTTCCTCCTCTTGTCTCTCCTTTGCCTCCTCCACCTTGTGCCCTGACCCCCTTCCCCACAGCTATACCTGCAGGCCTGGGCGCCCCCTGAGGGGGACAGTGACCTGGCTACCCGGTTACTGACCGAGCCCGATGTCCAGAAGGTACCACTTTGGGGCTGACCAGCTCAGACCCCCTCTCCCCAGGCACCAACTCCTGGGGCTCCTCTTTGATCCCTTCCTACACTGGCAGGGGTGTGAGCAGATACATGTAAGGCCTGATGGGGCTTAGTGATGGGGCTGGGCCCTCCTTGCTGTCTCACTTGCCTTCCAAATCCCTATTCTAGGGAATGGAATGGGAGTGACCCATGCCCTGCCTAGCATTAGTATTAGGAGCTGGGGTTTGGCTGTGCCAGGCTGGAAGGAACCTTCGAAACTCAACCACCTACCCCCGTTTCAGATGTTCAGAGATTTGGCTGTAGTAACTCACAGAGGAGGAGGTCCCCCACATAGGGCCAGTTCTTCCCATGGATCCTTGCATCTGCCCAAGCAGGTCACTGGGAGGCCCCCAATCCCCTCATCCACTCATGGGCTCCCTGCTTCACCTTGGGTGGGAGCTGTAGAAGGCTACAGAGTGTCAGGGGCTACACATGGGAAACCATCTAGTGGCTCAGCACCTGATCCCCACCTCTGGAGACACCTCCACCTTCACCCCCTGGCTTTGTCTTCATGGGGCAGCCCCATGTGTCTGTTACTGTTGGCTATTTTCTGAGAGCCTGCATGTCCCTTCATCTACAAGGCAGGTGAAGCAGGGGAAAGCCCTGGTTTTCACAGATGACGAAACTGAGGCCTAGAGAGGGGAAGAAGCCTGTTTGAAGTCACTTGGGGAGTCAGACAGAGATGGGATCAGGGGCCCCATGGAGCCGAAACAAGGCCTAACACCTGCTGACAAGTCCTTCTGAGCCCTCAGTCCTTCAGGGTGGCCTGGGGCAAGCAAGCAAGTGTCAGATTCAGCCAGGGTGAGCCTCAGTGTCCCTACCTGGATCTAGGGGGCAAGGGAAAGGGGAGGACTCAAAGGTCTCGAAGGTTCTTCTGGTTCTAACATTCCCTGATTGATTGTCCCTGAATTCTCTGACCCCCGGTCAATCATGGGTGATGGGACGCTCACTGGCCTGCTTGTACATGTGTATCTAGCTTGGGTGGGGATGGGTTGGACTGAGGCCCATAAGCCCACCAAACAGTGGGGAACAGAGAGGTATGGCAAGAGGGTCCACTGTTACTCTGTCCTAGTGAGGGCCTTCTTGGCCTTGGTTTTTTTTCTCTGGCCTCTGTCAAAAATGGGTCTTGCAAGCTGCTCAGCGAGGACCCTAGAGTCAGGGTGAGTGTCACAGCAGTTTGGGCAAGGTGTCCAAGGGCCTGGTGTCCAGACAGGGTTGCCATGTTGCCAGGGCCCCCAGCCAGCTCAACTACCTGCCTCGGAGCCCCTGCCTCTGGACCTACACCCCCTTTACTGCAGGGTACTGCCAGCTGTGACACCCCGGTGCCTGCCTCTCCTGACTGCCCCTCCCCACCCCAAGGTACTGGATCAGGACACAGATGCCATTGCAGTCCACGTAGTCAGAGTGCTGACCTGCATCATGAGTGGCTCCCCCTCAGCCAAGGTGAGGACATGGCTGTTCGGCTGCACAGGGTGGGAGTTATGTTGACCACATGTGCCCAGAACTACCCTGGTTGGTAGCTGTTAAAGCAGATGAGCTGGGGAGGTGACCATCCTGCCCTCTGGGGTACAGTTTGTCCACTGGGTGGGCATGGTGACCAGTCAGTCCTGGGAGCTGGATACTGGCTCAGGGATGGCTGATCATCACCTGCAGCCTTCTAAGGTGGACCCATACCCCCACATCCCTGTGTAGCCCCTGCCCCTACTAGTACTGTGACCCAGAAGCAGATCCATGCGAGGGAGCCCTGAAAGATGATGCCTCCTCCAGGGTTTCTCTGGGGTGTGAATTTGCCCTGGGCCCATATAGCTGCTCACTTCTTCCCCATACAACCCTGCACAGGAGGTATTTAAGGAGCGTATTGGCTATCCCCACCTGCAAGAGGTTCTGCAGAGCCATGGTCCCGCAACCCATCGGCTGTTGCAAGAGCTGCTCAACATGGTGAGGGCAGGGGATGGCGTCAGGGAGGGTCCCAAGGGCAGCCAGGACTGAGTCAGGGCTACCACGGAAGGTGAACTCTCAGAAGGGGACTGTGTTGACTGGGCAGCACATAGTGTGCACTGTGGCCTGACCGTGGGTAGGTGTCAGTGTCACTGAGTGGGGCCTGGAAGCTGCTGCATGTTAGCAAGCCCCAAGGTCATTCTGAGAACATGCAGTTAGGGTTTAGGCTAACCCAGACTGAAAGCCAAGGCTCAGGGGTTAACAGCGCTGCAGGACTGTTGTAAGTAGCAACAGCTATCCATGTGCCTTTACCTCTGCTGTGCCTCAGACACAACCTGTGAGCAGGAGGGGCTGGTGCATGTTGTTTTCCCAGGCTGCAGGCAAGTAAATGGAGACAGGAAGTTCCACTGTTGGCAGGGTGGCCTGTTCCATACCAGTTGCCTGGGAACTATCTCATCATTCTCTCTGCCCACAGGCTGTGGAGGGTGACCACAGCATATGTCCGCCGCCACCAATCCGCAATGAGCAGCCAGTGCTGGTACTCATGCAGTGGCTGCCAGCACTGCCCACAGCTGAGCTGCGGCTCTTCCTAGCACAACGCCTCTGGTGGCTCTGTGACAGCTGTCCTGCCAGCCGTGCCACATGTGTGCAGGCAGGCCTGGTGGGCTGCCTGTTGGAGACGCTTAGCACAGGGGTTGCCCTGGGGGTCCGCTGCCAGGAGCAGCTGCTGGCACTGTTACAAGCACTGGGCCGCGTGTCACTGAGACCCTTGGAGCTGCGTCGCCTGCTGCGTCCCCCACCAGGGCTGGACTTAGGGCCAGGTAGAGCTGAGGCCGAGAATGCCCGGCATGCAGGTGCCATCATTCGTGCATTATCAGGCATGGCCCGGCACCAGGGCTCTGTACGAGCTCTTTGCTACTTTGATCTCACACCTAGCATGGCGGGCATTATGGTACCCCCCGTGCAACGCTGGCCAGGACCTGGCTTCACCTTCCATGCCTGGCTCTGTCTGCACCCCGTGGCTGCAGGGCCTACCCCAGCCCCCACTCGGCCACTCCAGAGAAAGCAACTGTACAGGTGAGTGACTGCCAGGATCTGGGGCACAGTGCCAAGGTGAGCAAGAACCCCAGCAGGCATAACTGGCTTGGCTTGTGCCCAGTTTCTTCACCAGCAGCGGTGCAGGGTTTGAGGCCTTCTTCACGGCAGCTGGGACCCTGGTGGTGGCTGTATGCACTCGGAAGGAGTACTTAACTTTGAGCTTGCCTGAGGTGTCCTTTGCTGACTCTGCCTGGGTGAGCCTCCAGCCTCATGGCCCAGGGGGTGGTAGGGGCACCAAATCCCCAACATAAGCGTGATTTTGAGGGCTTGTGTTCCAGCACTGCGTGGCCATTGTCCATGTGCCGAGGCGCCGGCCCTTCAGCCAGAACCTGGTCCAAGTCTACAAAGATGGTCATCTGGTCAAGGAGGCACCCTTCCACTGCCCCTCCCTCAGTGAGGTGTGCCAGGCAGGGTTTGGGGGGCCTGGGATAGCTGGGAGGACTTGGACCGGGTGGGGCCTGGAGTCCGTGTGCCCTGCAGCGCAGGCCTCAGACTCCAGCCTTGGGTGTGTGTACCTGTGGGGGTCTCTGAGATACTGGATGCAGGTGGCGCCCCCAGGCTTGCTGTGACCTGACCGCTCCCCCAACCCTGGCCCTGCAGCCTTTCTCCTCCTGCTGTATCGGCTCCGCTGGGCACCGCACAACGACCACCACCACAGGGCTGCCTGCACCGCCAGTGCCCACTGCCCTGGCTCACACTCACCCCTCCCTCACCCGCTCCCAGTCAGTCCCGGCCACCACAGGGCTTGGCTGGGGGGCTGGGCTGGTAGCCCCCCTTCAGGAGGGCAGCATCAGCTCCACCCTTGCAGGCACACAGGATGCTCGGTGGGGCAGCCCCACGTCCCTGGAGGCTGAGCTAGGGGCCGTGGCCATCTTCCCTGAAGCCTTGCCAGCAGCAGCCCTGCAGGTCCTGAGCAACCTGGGTATGTGGCACCATCCACTTTGCCGTGCCCCTGCCCTGCCCCACTGCCCTAAGACCCAGGTGGTTGGGACTTGGAGAGTACCCAGTCCAGAAACTAGGAGTCCATAAGGAAGAAGGCTTCCCTGGGGGTGTGTCCCCTGGTCAGGCAGAGAAAAGGTGGGCTCTGGATGGGGTTTGGCCAGTGGCCCAGCCAGGTCTGAAGCCCCCCGCATGCCTGCCAGGGCCCAATGAGATGGCACCCTTCAAGCCAGAGGGTGAACTGCATGAACTTGGCACCAAGCTGCTCCTTCATTACTCACCTCAGGTATGGTGGGGGGCATGTGGGCAGTTGGCTCAACCCTGCTACCTCCCCCTACACTATCTGCCACCGCCTCCTCCAACTGAGCCTTGCTGCCTGCCCACCCCATGACTCCAGGCCTGTAAGAACAACATCTGCCTGGACCTGTCCCTTGGCCACGGGCTGGATGGCCGCCTGACGGGCCACAGAGTAGAGACCTGGGACGTGAAGGTATGTGAGCAGTGAGGGAAGCCTGAGCAGGCATGTGTGTGTGTCCAGGGTGGGCTGGGAGCTACACTGTGCCCTAGGAGGTCTGTAGAGACTAGCTCCAGAAAGCAAAACTTCCTGGCCCCAGGTTCCCAGACTGGAGGGTCTGTTGGGGTAGAGTGGGGCAGGAAAGAGCTGAGAGCTGCCCTCTCACACCACCCCCCACACTCCCCAGGATGTGGTGAACTGTGTGGGAGGCATGGCTGTCCTGCTGCCCCTGCTGGAGCGAGTGGCTGCACAGCCTCAAGAGGCTGAGGCAGGTCCAGCTGAAACACATGACCTTGTGGGGCCCGAACTGACCTCGGGCCACAACACCCAGGGCCTGCTTCTCCCACTGGGCAAGTCCTCAGGTAAAGCCCCTGGTGCCGGGCTTGGTGGGAGGTGTACCTTGGCATAACAGAGGGGCTGGAGTGCTTGAGGTCTCTGTGGCCACTGGTAGGCCCTTGACACACATCTGTCCCCTTCCTGGTGGCTGGCAGAGGAGCGAATGGAGAGGAACGCAGTGGCTGCCTTTCTGCTCATGCTGCGGAACTTCCTGCAGGGCCACACTGTGAACCAGGAGAGCCTGGTGCAGTGCCAGGGGCCTGCCATCATCGGGGCCCTCTTGTGCAAGGTGGGGCAAGTGGGGGTGGGGCAGCTCTGCCTGGCAGAGGGCACTGGGTTAGGGCACCAAGAACGGGAACCTGATGCCATCAGTCAGGGAGAGCCTTCTGGGAGAGGTGGCACTTGAGTGGGGCCTTGAACAGCTGGGCAGGGTTTAGCTTGGTGTGCCTGTAGGAAGTACCAGCACAGGCTGGGGCAGGAGACCTGCACAGCAGGCTGGGGGTTTGCACCTCAGGGACAGCAGGAGCCACCAGAGGGACTGGGGCTGGCAGGGCGCTTGGGCCCATCTGAGAGTCACCCGAGCTCCTCCCTCCCCAGGTCCCCAGCTGGGCCATGGACATGAATGTGCTTATGTCTGCCCAGCTGCTGATGGAGCAAGTGGCAGCTGAGGGCAGTGGGCCCCTCCTGTACCTGCTTTATCAGCACTTAGTCTTCAACTTTAACATCTGGAGCCTCAGCACCTTTGCTGTGCGCCTGGGTAGGTGAGGGGTGCTGCCAGGTGGGGTGGTGCAGGTTCTGAGAAGTTATAACCCTGCTCTGAGTGATCTGAAAGGACAGATCTGCCCTGGGGCATGTGAGGGAAATGTGACCCTCCCTAGGGGTTCTGGCAGGGGAGTGGCCCTGTCTTGGGGGATGGGTGGGGGCCCCAGTCCACCTGCTGATCTTAGCCCTTTGCTGATGTGTGCTCAGGTCACATCCAGTACATGTCTAGCATAGTCCGTGAGCACAGACAGAAGCTGAGGAAGAAGTACGGGGTGCAGTTTGTCCTTGATGCCCTGCGCATCCACTACAGGTGAGGCTGGTGCGGGCAGGCAGGCCAGGGCTTGACACAGCCGCCTCTGGCCTTGCGTGTCCCCCAGCTGAGTCCCCCAGCTCATCTGCCCATTCCCTGTCCTCCCATCATGCCTTTGGCCCTCCCGCCCCATGGGTGTGCCCCCTGGAACCCGCCAGCGCACAGCGGGAGCACCCCCTGGCTGCCGACGAGCTGCACACAGTGCAGACCTTGCTTCTGGGTCTGGCACGGGATCTCCTGGTTCGGAGCTCCTCCATTGATGACATGCAGGTGGTGCTGAGCTTTCTGGCAGCTGTTGGTGATGAGGGCCAGGTAGGGTGGAGGTTGGTGAGGATGAGGCGTGGGTGAGGGGCAGAGTGTAGACAGTCCAGTGTGAGACTCTGTGTCCCCAGATGGTGGGTGCACTGGACCTGCTGCTGGCACTGCTTCAGGGCTCCCCAGCACAAGAGTCCTTGGCTGTCTTCCTGCTGGAGCCAGGGAACCTGGAGGTGCTGTTGGCACTGCTGGTGCGGCCAAGGTCACTGCCCCTGCTGCCTGACCGAATCTGCAAGGTATACCCAGCTCAGCCCTGACCCTGGCATCCCTTCACTGGGGCCCCTACCTGAGGTCCAGCAGCAGGTCTCGGCTCGCTGTCTCCGTGGGCCTCTCTGGGAGCCACACACCTGAGTGCTGACTTCCCCTCCCTCCCCGGGATGACACACTACCCCCCCTGCCTCAGATCCTGCGCAGACTCCAGCAGAATGAGCGCCTACCTGAGCGGTGTCGCCAGCGACTCCGGCTGCAAGAGTATGGCCTCCAGGGTCTTGTCACCTGCCTTCCAGAGGGGGCCATCTCCCCCCAGCTCTGCCAGGGCCTCTACAGGCTGTTCCTAGGTGCAGGTATGACCTGGTTGGGGCAAGAGGCAGGCCCGGTGGAGGGGTGACATGGGTCCAGGGGACAGGGTGGAGGGGAATAGGGAAGGTGTCAGCCAGGAACCAAGGCTGCTTCAGCAGTGGGGTACAGCCCCCTACTGCGGCCAGTCCCTCAGGCCTTCCTTGGCCATCCTCCCAGACTGCCTGAACCTCTCAGACCTGCTGGCCGTGGTGCAGCTGTCCCTGCAGGCTGACCTCAGTGTGCGCCTGGATGTTTGTCGCCAGGTTAGTGTGGGAGGGGAAAGTTTTGGCAGTGAGGGTGTTGGGGGGCTTGTATCTTGAGGATTCTCTTCGCCTGCCTATGATGGGGGGTCTCTGGGGACTGTCCTGCAAAGGCCATGGAGGAGGGTCCCTCACCTGCTGTGCCCTGGCCCGGCAGCTCTTCCACCACATCTACAGGCAGCCCGATACAGTGCGGCTGCTGGCCCAGCAAGCTGGCTGGCAAGATGTGCTGACCCGGCTGTATGTCCTAGAGGCTGCCACGGCCGACAGTCCCCTGCCCTTTGCCCCGGAGCCACTCACCTCCCCGGAGCCAGACTTACCCAAGCCACCCACTGAGTCTCCTGAGTCTTCAGACGTCTTCCTGCCCTCGGAGACCCCGTGCCCTGATCCTGATGCCTTTTACCATGCCCTCTCCCCATTCTGTGCACCCCTTGACCTAGGCCTGGAGCGGGCCAGTGTGGGTTCAGGCAACACTGCTGGCGGGGGCAGTGACAGTGGGACTGTCACTCCAGCCAGCCAGCCTGGCACGCCTTCCCCACTGGATGGGCCCCGGCCCTTCCCTGCTGCCCATGGCCACCACAGCTCCAGTCTCTCCAATGTGCTGGAGGATGGCAGCCTCCCAGAGCCCACTGTCAGTGGAGATGACACCTCTAATGCCAGCAACCCTCAGGTGAACAGCCCTACCCTCTGCCATGGTAGGGCGCTCGTGGGGAGACACCTCAGGACGTGGGGCAGGCACCTTTCCAAAGGTGTGGGCCTCCCTGACATCAGGATTGCAGGTGCCTGTCAGGCCCAGTGCTACCCTCTTAGAGTTCTCATCTACAGTTATGTCCCTAGTTTGGTCCCAGAATAGGGGAGGTCACGCTAAGCCTGAGTGGGGGATTTGGAGGGACCTCAAGAGAGCCTTTGGGCAGGATAGCACTAAAGGTCCTGCCTTGTGCTTCCAGGTTTGGAATGGGCCTCTGCTTATTCTATGGTATTCTTCCTGAAAATTCAGGACAGTTCCTGAGGCCTGTAAGGCCTGTGGGGTAATTTTGTAAATGACTTCATCTCTTAGGAATCATTGAAACCCCAGGATTCTCCCTGGAATTCAGGTTGTGGCTGAGGCCCCTACACCAGTCTTCCAGGCCCTCAGTGCCAGGCTGTCTGTTGGCTAAATGCTCTGCCTCCTGCTCTCCTACTAGTAGTGGGCAAGGGGTGCAGAACAAGGATAGTGAGGGGGTCAGCCTGACTCCCTCCTTCCCCAGCCCACACCCCACACCACCCATCTGTGCCTACAGCAAACCTCAGAGGAGGAGTTGTGCAACCTGCTCACCAACGTGCTGTTCTCAGTGACATGGAGGGGTGTGGAAGGCAGTAATGAGGCTGCCTGGCGGGAGCGTGGCCAGGTCTTCTCAGTGCTCACCCAGCTGGGGGCCTCAGCCACATTGGTGCGCCCACCAGATTGCATCAAGCGCAGGTGAGGGGGCAGCTTGGGAAAGTGAAGGGCCTCCCAGAGGTCCGGGGGTCAGGAAGGCAGTCAGGTGGACACTGAGCCTCTTGCCTGTCCCCAGCCTCCTGGAGATGATGCTGGAGTCAGCCCTGACTGACATCAAAGAGGCCCCTCCTGGGGGCCTGGCCAGCCTTACCCAGCAGGCACTTTGGCTGCTGCGCCTGCTGCAGGACTTCCTGTGTGCAGAGGGCCATGGCAACCAGGAGCTGTGGAGTGAGAAGGTATGGCAGCTCAGAGGGGAGAGCCAGTGGGGCCCACATGTTCATGTGAGCCTGTAGGCATCTGTCCGAGGGGCTAATGAGTACAAGTGTGCAGTCACGGGTGCCTGGGCAAGGGTGTCTGTGAGCCTGGACTAGTCTGTAGGTGCACATCCTACCTTACTCCCAACCCAAAGCTTACCTGCACCCTTCCCATGGGCTCCTGGCCTGCTGTGGTGATGGCTACTGGGAAATATTGTGTGGCAGCTCTTTGAAGGTGTGTGTGGCCTCCTGGATCGCCTGGGAGCCTGGCCACACCTGGCCAATGGTACAGCAGATCTCCGAGAGATGGCACAGATTGGCCTGCGCCTGGTACTTGGCTACATCTTGCTGGAGGACCCACATGTGAGCAAAGGTGGTTGTGTGCAAAGGCCTAGCAGGTATAGGGGGCTCTGGGAGTGGCTGGCCGCCACCCACACCCCCTTCTGCCCCACAGCTACATGCCCAGGCCTACGTGAAGCTGCACGGGCTGCTGCAGACTACAGTGCCCATGCGTCGCGAGGAGGCCTGCTATGTGCTGTCCAAGCTGGAGGCAGCACTAGCCCGGGCACTGAAGACTTCTGCCTCAGACAGTGTCTTGGAAGACAGGGAGCCCCCAGCTGTGGCTACCACAGCTGCAGAGCGCTGCTCCTGGCTGGTACCACTGGTGCGCACGCTGCTGGACCGTGCCTACGGGCCCCTGGGGCTGCAGTGGGGGCTGCCTTCCCTGCCACCCACCAATGGCAGCCCCACCTTCTTTGAGGACTTCCAGGCTTTCTGTGCCACACCTGAATGGCGCCACTTCATTGACAAGCAGGTGCCTGGAGTGTGGGGCACAGGAAGGGAAGTGGGGGCTGGTGGGGGCCCACATCAAGCCCTTGACTCCTTTTCCTGCCCAATCCTCTAAGGTGCAGCCCACCATGTCGCAGTTTGAAATGGACACCTACGCTAAGAGCCACGACCTCATGTCGGGCTTCTGGAATGCCTGCTACGACATGCTCATGAATAGTGGGCAGCGGCTCCAACAGGAGCGGTTGAGGAGTGGTCAGGACTTCCAGGTATGTGGCCTGGGTGGGGCGATGGGGAGCTGCTCCCCACAGGCACCCAAAGGACATTTGACGGGACAAGATGGAGAAACAGGGACAGGACAGGAAGCCGCCAGCGGGACGACGCATTCCTTCACTCCCACCCACCCAGGACCTGGTGCTAGAACCTGCCCTGAGGCGGGCACGCCCAGAGGGGCTCCGCTACGCCGCAGTGCAAAAACAGCAAGCAAGTCAGCACTCCACCGCCCTGCTGCACTGGGAGGCGCTGTGGCGGCAGCTCTCCAGCCCCTGCGGGGCCTGGGCCTTGAGGTGGGCGGGGCTTGGGGCAGAATCCAGACGGGGGCGGGGCTTGGGATAGAGGGAGGGACCTGCAGGGTCAGACTGGATTTGGGGTGAGGCCTATGAGGGACAGGGAGGTGTACACATTATCCCCACCCATGACTACCACCCGGGACATACCTGCAGGGACCCGCCCATTCCCCGCTGGAAGCTGTCCAGCGCCGAGACATACTCGCGCATGCGTCTGAAGCTGGTGCCCAATCATCACTTCAACCCTCACCTAGAAGCCAGCGCCCTGCGAGACAACCTGGGTGAGACGGTTTGCTGAGCTGGGTCGGCCCAACCTCATATGCTCCGTTCTGCCGAGCTCTAGCTGAGCACTCTTTTGGCCTATGGCAGGTGAGGCCCCCCAGACACCCACCCAAGAGGCCTCGCTGCCTCTAGCGGTGACCAAGGAGGCTAAAGTCAGCACCCTACCCGAGGAGCTGCAGGAAGACCAGCTAGGCGAGGACGAGCTGGCTGCCATGGAGACCGCGTGAGCGGGGCAGGGAGAGAGCTGGCTTGGGGTGGGCGGCAAGGGGTGTGCTCCAGTGGGTGCGTGCCCGCTGTGCGACTGACTTCTGAGTCCATTTCCTCTTACACTGCAGGGCTAAATGTCCCGAAGGGGCTGTCCAAAACCAGGTCGGGGGCTGGGGAGAGCTGCCCGACAGAATGGCCAGTTGCTCTTTCCTGGCTAGGCACCCCAGAACAGGACTGAGAAACCAGACCGTCACGGGGGCCCAAGGGAGTGGGCAGGGCTGAGTGAGGGGAAGTGGACAGGAGCTGGTGTCCGGGAAGATATTCAGAGGCCCAGATTTGGGGGCTGGCTCAGGTCCCTGTCTTCTGGAAGGCATGAGTGTATGTAGCTCATGACTTGATGGCACTTGGAGATGTGGTCCCTGGGCTTGTTAGGAAGGGGGTCCTGGGGCCTCGAGCCTGAAGTGGGTGCCTGGCCTCCAGGATGAAGGCAGCAGAACTGGATGAACAGCATGAGAAGCTGGTGCTGTCGGCCGAGTGCCAGCTGGTTACAGTGGTGGCTGTGGTCCCAGGGCTACTGGAGGTCACCACACAGCACCTCTACTTCTACGATGGCAGTGCCGAGCGTGTGGAAACTGAGGAGGGTGTGTTCTGTTGGAGCTAAAGGGACGGTAAGGGGTGGCTGGGGTCTGGTGAGCCTGGTTCGAGCAACTCTTGCATCTTCTGCCCATCCCCGCAGGTATTGGCCATGATTTCCGGCGCCCACTGGTCCAGCTCCGTGAGGTCCACTTAAGGCGTTTCAATCTGCGCCGCTCAGCACTTGAGCTCTTCTTCATTGATCAGGCCAACTACTTCCTCAACTTCCCGTGCAAGGTGGGCAGGACTGCGGCCTCATCCTGCCAGGCCCCCAGGCCCCAACCCTGCCCCATCCCACCCCACACGCAGGTACGGAACCAGGTGTACTCATGGCTCCTGCGCCTGCGACCCCCTACGCAAGGCTACCTAAGCAGCCGCTCCCCCCAGGAGATGCTGCGTGCCTCAGGCCTCACCCAGGTGAGAGCCCTAGAGTTTGAAGGGTGGGTGAGATCCAGGGCCCTGCGGTTGGGACAGTGCTGGACAGCCTGGCTGGCTCACCTTTTGCCTGCCCCTGTCTGCCCCTCCCCCCACCCCAGAAATGGGTACAGCGTGAGATATCCAACTTTGAGTACTTGATGCAACTCAACACCATTGCGGGGCGGACCTACAACGACTTGTCTCAGTACCCTGTGGTGAGGGCCTACTCTGCACCTCCATCCCTGCCCTGCGGTCACCAGCCTGGGTTCACCCAAGCGTAGGCACTGGTGGTGGGCCAAGCCCTGGGGTTGGTCCTGGGTATGTGTTGCCTGAGACCTGGCCTCTGTTTCCTGCCACCACTCCCCCCCCACACACTCAACCCCATTGTCTTCCCCTCCTGGCCTCTATTCTCCCCAAAGGAAATCCCATCCCAGTCTCTCTTGCTGCAGGTGGCATGCCCCCACCTGTGGGCCTGCCCATCTTCTGGAGGGTGAGGGCAGGGCAGAGTGGACAGGTAAACTGTCAGGACTCTCATGTAGCTCCCACCTGGGTGGGTGGCCAGTTTCCCTGGGTCCTACAGGACTATGTGTCCCCAACTCTGGACCTCAGCAACCCTGCCATCTTCCGGGACCTGTCCAAGCCCATTGGGGTGGTGAACCCCAAGCATGCCCAGCTTGTGAGGGAGAAGTGAGTGCTTGGGTGAGGCTGGGCTTGGGGGTTGGGATGGGTGAGGGGAGGGCTTTTGCTGACTCCTGTCTTATTGCTATTCCAGATATGAGAGCTTTGAGGACCCAGCGGGCACCATTGACAAATTCCACTATGGCACCCACTATTCCAATGCAGCAGGCGTGATGCACTACCTCATCCGAGTGGAGCCCTTCACCTCCCTGCATGTCCAGCTGCAGAGTGGCCGGTGCAGCCCTGGGGATGGCGGGCAGGTGGCAGGGTGGGGGTGCAGAGGAAGAGGCAGGGGCTCCAGGCAAGCTGGCCCTCTGGCACCCTTCTTTTCTGAGCCACACCTTTTCCCTTCCTGTCCCTATTCTCCCAACCTCACTTTGGTCCCTGTCCCTCTCCCAGCTTTGACTGCTCTGACCGGCAGTTCCACTCGGTGGCAGCTGCGTGGCAGGCCCGTCTGGAAAGCCCAGCCGATGTGAAGGAGCTTATCCCAGAGTTCTTCTACTTCCCTGACTTCCTGGAGAACCAGAACGGTAGGAGCTGGCACAGGGATGGGACACACAGGCTGGGGTGGCTAGGAAGCAGGCAAGATGATGCAGTAGCACAGCTGACCCAGTCCGCCATGCCAGATTTTGACCTGGGCTGCCTCCAGCTGACCAACGAGAAGGTGGGTGATGTGGTGCTGCCCCCATGGGCCAGCTGCCCTGAGGACTTCGTCCAGCAGCACCGCCAGGCCCTGGTGAGAAGTCACGTGTACACACAGGCGGGTGGCCAGGGCTGAGGGGCAGGGGCAGGACACTAGCTATGCCTGGGCTGATGCCCCTCCCATCCTCAGGAGTCGGAGTACGTGTCTGCCCACCTGCATGAGTGGATCGACCTCATTTTTGGCTACAAGCAGCGAGGGCCAGCCGCGGAGGAGGCCCTCAATATCTTCTATTACTGCACCTATGAGGGTGGGCAGTGCACTGGACTTGAGTGGGGGCCAGGGCACAGATGAGGGGCAGAGGGAGTCCTGACTGCTCTGCCTGTCTGCCCACAGGGGCCGTGGACCTGGACCATGTGGCAGATGAGAGAGAACGGAAGGCTCTGGAGGGCATTATCAGCAACTTTGGACAGACTCCCTGTCAGCTGCTGAAGGTAAGGCCAGCTTGGAAGGTAGTGGTCAGAATGCCCATGCCTTGGTGCTGACTGGCCACTTGCCCACAGGAGCCACATCCAGCCCGGCTCTCAGCTGAGGAAGCAGCTCAGCGCCTGGCACGTCTGGACGCTAACTCACCTAGCATCTTCCAGCACCTGGACCAGCTCAAGGCCTTCTTTGCAGAAGTGAGGGGAGGCAGACTTTCAACTTTCTACTCTGTAAAATGGGTTTAATCCTACTGTCCTTACCAACCTTTTAGGGCAGATGCAAAACCTAAATCAAGGTCACTAATAGGAGATAGCTTGAAAAAAAGATAAAAGTGGAATATGGGGTGGGGGATTTTGCCTTCTTCTCAAGGGCCAGGGCAAGGCATTGACCCATCTAACTGTTTCTGAAAGACCCTGGGAGATCAGGGTGGAGGGAATCTGCCTCCGATAGTTTCTCTCACCTTCCTACCTGCATCCCAGAATGCCCCCAGGCCTGACTTTTGAAGGTTTTCCTCTCCTGCTGGCAGGCTGGAAGGGACATGGAGTAACGGGATGGGAGGACCAAGACTGAAACCCACCTTGAGGCTCTGGAAGGACCCTCCTTGTCCATCCCCCCTTTTCACTGACTTTCTTAGATGCCTTCCTCGAGGCCCACTGGTCTCTCCTGCCTGTTGCTCAGAGAGACTTCTGCCTCCGTGACACCTAGGCTGTGACCCATGGGGGTTGAGGACAGGGAGAAGGAGCAGTGCTCCAGGGAGCAGGTAATTGGGTGGGGCCCAGTTGGCCCCTTGGGCACGGCCAGCACTGCATGTTACCATTGCAGGTCATCAGTGATGGCGTGCCCCTGGTGCTGGCCCTTGTTCCTCACCGGCAGCCCCACTCCTTCATGACCCAGGGCTCGCCAGACCTATTGGTAAGTGCACTGAGCAGGGCTCCCCTCATCCCCACTCTTCTGAATGCCCCAAACCCACCTCTGCCTCCTTTTGCCTGCAGGTGACTGTGAGTGCCAGTGGGTTGCTGGGCACCCACAGCTGGTTGCCTTATGACCGTAACATAAGCAACTACTTCACCTTCAGCAAAGACCCCACCATGGGCAATCCCAAGTAGGACATAGGGCTGTGGGCAGGGGTGGGCTCTAAATACCTTTCACCCTGAGTTGTCTCCCCACCCAGTCAGAATGCAGGCCAGCTGCAGGGTCTGGCCACGTATTCTCATGGCCTGGCTCTCCTATGTGGCCTGGCCTCACCTGTCATGCCTCTCACTGGGTCAGGATGCAGCGACTGCTGAGTGGCCCATGGATGCCAGGCAGTGGTGTGAATGGGCAAGCCCTGGCGGTGGCCCCTGACGGAAAGCTGCTCTTCAGTGGTGGCCATTGGGATGGCAGCTTGAGAGTAACTGCACTGCCCCGGGGCAAGCTGTTGAACCAGTTCAGCTGCCACCTTGGTATGAGTAGCCTTGGAGCTGGGGTGGTATGTGCAGAGGGCGGGGGTAGGTTCCCCAGCTGGCCAGGGAGGGTATGACCACTGTGTTCTGTCTGTGCCCTGCCCACTGCACCCAGACGTAGTGACCTGCCTAGCACTGGACACCTGCGGCATCTACCTCATCTCAGGTTCCCGGGATACCACATGTATGGTGTGGCGGCTCCTGCAGCAGGTGTGCTGGATGGGCAGCCCCAGGGAGCCCCCACAGTCCAGACCTGCAGCCCATCTGCCCCTAGTGGGCCTCCAGTCCTGCCCTTCTCTCTCCTCTTTCTGCTGCAATGAGCAAGTCTGGGGCTCCACCACCCTCCAGCTCTCTGGCTTTGAGCAAGGCTGTCACTTCCCTGAGCCTTAGCCTTCTAACTCAAGGGCTGCATTGTGCAATGCCCCCAGTCCTGAATCAGCCCCAATCCCCCACAGGGTGGTCTCTCAGGGCTGGCATCAAAGCCTGTGCAGGTCCTGTATGGACATGAGGCTGCAGTGAGCTGCGTAGCCATCAGCACTGAACTGGACATGGCCGTGTCTGGATCTGAGGTGTGTGTATGCCTGTGCTTGGGGGGAGGCTGGGTTTGCTAGGTGCTGTCCCTGGAACACAGAGACCCCTGCCCAGCACCCTGAAGCTGTCTTCCTGCAGGGTGGAACTGTGATCATTCACACTGTACGCCGTGGCCAGTTTGTGGCAGCACTACAGCCCCCGGGGGCCACATTGCCTGGACCTGTGTCCCACCTGGCACTGGCATCTGAGGGCCAAATTGTGGTACAGAGCTCGGCACAGGAGCGTCTTGGGGCTCAGGTATGGAAAAGGGGTACCTAGCCAAGGCAGGGGTAGTGGAGATTCTGTCTTTGCTGACATCTCCTGCTTTTTCCAGGTCACCTATTCCTTGCACCTGTACTCTGTGAATGGGAGGTTGCGGGCTTCACTGCCCCTGCTAGAGCAACCCACAGCCCTGGCAGTGACGGAGGATTTTGTTCTGCTGGGCACAGCTCAGTGTGCTCTGCACATCCTACACCTGAACAAGTGAGTCCCACTGTTTATGGGTTCGTGGCCTCTCAGGGTGGTGGTCATTGACTGAGGATACTAAGAGGTGCCCCCCACCCGCCAGGCCCCCTTTACATGTCTGTGGGCACATTGTTTAAGGCCTGTCATGTGTCCTCCAGTCCCCCAGTGGGGAGGTCTTGCCCTGGGCTTCCGTTAGCCACACACTTGTGGGAAATCCCTCTTTGTATCAGGGTTTCAATTGAGCCACCCTTCAAATGAGTACAGAGCAGGTATGGAGAATGAAGAGACACCCCACTGCTGGATACAAAGCTCCCCTGTTATTTTGATTTTGCTTGTATCTCCTCCTTAACTCCAGACTGCTCCCTGCTGTGCCTCCTCTGCCCATGAAGGTGCCCATTCGCAGCGTGGCTTTGACCAAGGAGCGCAGCCACGTGCTCGTGGGCCTGGAGGACGGCAAACTTATCGTGGTGGGCGCTGGGCAGCCCTCTGAGGTGAGGAATAGGGCGGGGCAGGCCTGGAACTGGCTCGGAAGCAAGGGTCTGGCTGACCCCATCCCATCTTATTTCCACCAGGTGCGCAGCAGCCAGTTTGCGCGGAGGCTGTGGAGATCCTCCCGGCGCATCTCGCAGGTGTCCTCTGGAGAGACAGAATATAACCCTGGAGAAGCGCGCTGACAGCCTGTCCCGCCCCACGGCGCAGGCTCCGTCCAGGCGGGCTCCGCCCCTGGAGGCCCGGCTCAGGGGTCGGCGGGAATCGCGAGGAGGAAACGCCGAGGCCGGGGGCCAGCACTCAGGGGGTGGGCGGGGCCCACTCCCGCCCAACTCAGGGATTGGCGGGCAGTTCGCTCCAGGAAGCCCCGCCCCTCGCCGGTAGAGGAGGTGCCCGGAGTCCCAGCCCCGGCCTCAGCGGCCGCCCAGCACGTTTTGCACAGTCGAGCGGGAGCCCAGGCTTTCGGACCTCCTTCCGTCCCGGCGGAGCGCAAGGGTCCGGCTGTGGCCTTAACCCCTAAAGGCGGCCCCTTGCTCTCCCATTCTCGGCAATAAACCTGGCCTAGTTTTGTAGCTGCTCCTCCTCCGTGGGTGCGTGCGCGTGGCGTTTCGGCATGCCCTGGCCACCGACCGCACTAGCGTTCCCCTGGTATGGGGGGCCCCTCCGTGTGACTTCAGCTACGCCGCCCCGGTCTCAGGGCCCGCTTGTCGCGTCTGCCCGGCTAGTGGTTTCTTCGCGCGCTCAGCCCTGCCCACCACCTCCAGGCGTGCGCGCATTCCTGCGCGAGGCGGGAGCGCGGGCGACCCTGGCCGCTCCTCCCTCCGCGTAGCTGGTTTCCCCGGGCCGCCCGCCCCGCCCCCAGGGTCTGGCCCCCTTCTCTGTCCACGTCCTCGTCCCCGCCCTGCGCCGCTGCTCGTGTTTCGGGTGGGCCAGAAACTGGCCTTAGAGACTCCACGCAGTCTTCCCGATTGGCCCACGGAGAACCCCGCGGCTTAGAGGCCCGAGTCCCGCCAGACTGAGTGGATCCTGGCACCTGAGACAGGGTGGCGGCCGCAGATCAGGAGGGGTTTGGGGACAGAGCCCTAGGTCTTCCTGGACTCGGGGGGTCGAGGGCTGCCTCCCTTGTCCCCCACCTGGAGATCTGCGATCCCGCCGGTGTTCTCCCTGGTGAAGCCCTTGTCTTGTGTTGGGATGTGTGTGGCAAGCCCGGGTAGTGTGGACGTGCAGGGTGTTGGCATTGTATGTGCGTTTGCGGGCCTGAAGATGGGCGTGTGTGCTGGGAGCCGGTGGGGAGGGGTGTAGAAGCTCCAATCCCACAGCTCAGTGGGTGCGCGGGCAGACACAAGGCCAAATGACTGCACGTGTGGTCATTGACACCCGCAATCCAGGAAGGTCTCCTTATGTGGTAAGTACACAAGGCCAAATGACTGCACGTGTGGTCATAGACACCCGCAATCCAGGAAGGTCTCCTTATGTGGTAAGTGACACAAATGGACACATCCCACACGTGGCAAGCGCCACTGCAGCCTCTGACCCAAACCCAGTTGCTGATTGCACTTTATTGTACACATGGGCCCTTGGCCTAGCCCAGCAAAGGGAGTTTGGACACCAGGCAGGAGGTGGAGTGGTGGATGTTGGGGCATTGGAGGGCCTTCCCCCAGGTCCAAGTCTCTTCTCCATTCCTTTCCCAGGCCAGCAGCTTCCTCAGCCCAGCCTGGGGTCTCTCTTCCCCAAGCCTCAGGAAGTGGGTTCCAGCAGGATCAGTCCTATAGATCCAGATGAGTCCTGGGACTGAGTGGTCCTGTCCTTTGGGTGTCTGACCTTCAGGCCCTCTCCAAAGTCCCAGATGAGGAACGACCAGGGGCCCTCTGCCCTTTCTGAACCCACCAAAGTACCTTCCTGTCCAGCCTTTGAGCAGACGGTTGAGGGCTAGACCCTGGCTCTGGAGGCATAGTCACTCCAGGGAGCTCCTTGGAGGCTTAGGGTGTTGGGTTCCTAGGCTCATGCTAAGTCTGGAGGCTTACCCCAGTCAGTCTCTGGCGTGGCTCTGGCTGAGGTGGAGGTGGGAGTCTCCATGCTCCTCACCTACCATCCCTGGGCTGAGACCAGCGGTTTGCCAAGGGCTTAGAGACAGAGTGGTTTCCAACCTGCCCTCGTCCCTTCTGAGCTGCACCCTGGCTCCTCAGGCTTTGGCCAGCTGGGGCCAGCTCTACCTTCCCCACCCCATTTGACACAGGAGGAAACTGGTCCAGACTGGTGAGTATGGAAGTGGGAGTTGGGATACCCAGCCCTGGAGCAAACAAATCAGGATGGAGTGAGCCAGGAGAGGGGGACAGGCTACCCCAAGGGACTCCTGACATCAGGCCTGAGTTCCCCCATGTCCCTACACAGCCCCTTTTGGACTCGGAGAAGAAATCTCCCAGCATCCTTGTCCGGGTACTGCCTGTGACGCTCCTACCCCTTCTCCAAGAGATGCAGCCCCTGGGAACACTGCTAGCCAGCCAAGCCATGTTTCATAACTCTAGCCACAGGGAAGGCATGGGCCAGGTGGGTAAGCATGCATCTCTTGATCCAGATCTTGGATACTGGGTACGGGATGTACCCCAGGTAGGTAGGCATACACAAGTCCAGTCACAGGCTCAGGAGGCCCTGTGCCCTACCTGCACCGGACTGTGGGAACAACTGGCCTGCAGGCAGAAGTCAGCCAGAAGCGTTTACTTGCCTTCCATTTCTGATATTGCAAAAATTTACAAGGTCTCCTGTACAGAGTCCCCCATGGGGACCAACATGAATTAATGTGCTCTCACAGTGAAGACTTAGTGAGGGAGACAGGACACACAGTTTAGTGCCACAATAGACAAACTGAGGAGGTGTAGCAGGAGGCAGAAAAGGAAGAGACTGGGAGAGATCAAGGATGGCTTCCCAGGGTAAGAGATGCCTGCATTCGTCAGATGGAGAAGGTAGAACAGCAGGAGCAGACATCTGGAAGTGCAGGAGAGGGTTCATCTGGGAAGGGCTGTGTGTCCAAGAGTGACCAACAAAGGGGGGACTGTGGAAGAAGAGGATAAGAAAACGGGCCAGGCAACTTGATGCTATGGTCAGACATTTCGACTCTACATAGTGGGAACTATTTCAGTCCTTTTTGGCAGCAAAGTCTTGGGGAGGCTGCCAAGGAACCCTAGCCTTGGTTCCTTGACCCTGACCCTGTCTGCTTTTTCCTCTACAGATAAGACCCAGAAGGGAGAGCACAGGGACAGGGAAGGGGGTGTGGATAGGGGCAGGGGGGAACCCTGGCCCCCAATACCTCCTTCCCATTCCCCCTTGAGCCTTCAGGGGCCTAAAGCAGCATCATCCCTGTTTATTGTGCCCTACTGGCCACCATGGTCCTCGGTCTGCTCGTCTACCTGGTCTTCAAGTGGTAGGTGGTCTGGACACTGCCCAATGACACCCCCTTCCCGCCTGGACACCCAGCCAGCTCCCTCTGGGTCTCAGTGAAGGTTGGAGCAGGTTGGCAGGTACCCCCTGCTCCCCACAGCTGATGTTCACATAAACAGAGAGAGCAGCTGGCCAAAGCTCAGACTGCAGAGCAGGGGGCCCTCCACAGGGTCAGCAGTGTCTCCTTGGACTCTCCTAGCAGTCTGGAGCCCTGTGCCCCTAGCCACGGTGAGCTTCTTGCCCCAGTCTACAGTCCTTCAGACCTAGCTCTGCCCTGTCACCCAGCATCTGACCTTCACATGCCCGTCTCTCACCCTAGGACCACATCCTGAGCTTGGCTGCCAGCTTTACCTTCATCTCCCTTGGCAGTAGGAAGAAGTAGAGCTGCTCCCGGAGGTGTCAGGTGAACCTGACAAGGGCTGGCAGGGTCTGGCGGCCACCTGGGCTACCAGGCTGATGCTGTGGCAGCCATGGCCCGGGGCCAGGTGCCAGCCTACACTCTGCTGAGGGACTGGGCTGTGCAAGAAGGCAGCTGTGCCATCCTCAGGGTGCTGGAGGCAGCCCTGGCTCTCGCAGCTGAGGGCCACTGTGGAATGAGATGCCTGCACAGTCTGGCCCTCTCAGGGAACCCACCCTGGTGCTCCTCACCACCCTCATGTCATACTTTTCTTCCACGGCACTCCTAGCATTGGTAGCCTCGGCTTGCTCTCTTCTGGGGGAACACAGAAGATCCAGACACCCCTCACTTCCCCCTTGCCCTACCTTCCTCCAGGACTTGGACCAGGGTATGTAGGAGTGGACCATGAGGAGTGGGCCTGCTCTCCTGATCTCTGCTCTGCCTTCCCTTACTTAGCTTCTCTTCTACTTTTGTATCCCATATTAAAGGCAACTTTGGACTGTTGTGCTCTTTCTGGTTCCCTGAGCCTGTGGGACAGTTGTGTGAGTATCAGGCAGAGGCACAGTAATAGGATAGGGTCCCTAGGATGTGAGAGGAGCACTGAGCTGACAGGCAGGCAGTGTGCTTCTGTGCAACGCACACACTCTAAAGGACGAGTGGAGTTCACATCCTGCATCTACCACTCACTGGCTGTACTGTGTTATGAAAGTGTTAGAAGCTTTCTGAACTCTAGCTTTCTTAGCTGGAGAACAATAAATAGAATGGCACATTCAGTATTCTCCCACTCCCCAGGACTGCCAGGGTGGCCCTGAGGGGCCTTGAGTTAGAGACCACTTTTCTGACTTGGGCTGTAACCAGCATCAAGGGGAGGCTGGAGGCCTGCCCCTCTATAGGCAGGAGGCAGACTGGCCCTAGGAGCTAGTTACCAAGGGGCTCAGGTCACTCCCGAAGAGAAAAAGGAAGAAAGGCTTCTCCTTAGCAAGACCCACCCTCCAGACCCAGGAAAGGGAGTTCCAGACATGCTTTCACAGCTGCTTGTGTGATTTCCACACTAGCCAAGGGCAGGCAGGTCACCCCCACTCCCACCTGAAGGGCAGCTGAGGACAGGGCAGCTGCACCCCTTGCATACGGCCACCCTGGAGAGAGGAGCAGGCAGGTTGGTAGCTGCCTTGAGAAGGGTTGCTACAGCCGACAGGCCTTGCCTAGGAAGGAACAATGGCTACAATCCTGGTACCTACCAGGATTAGAGCACGTAAGCAGCACAGCCATGCCAACTCATGTAGGAGATGTGGGGTTCAGAGTGGCTCCGGGAGATTGTCCCCTTGCTGACTGGGATTGGCTGCTCTGTGAGTAGCAAACTCATCAGATTGCTGCTATACTGCTACTCCTCGTAACAGTTTACCAGGGCTGCTTAACCCTGTAAATTTTTTCCTTAAAATGAGGGCAAGTTTATGGCCACCTTCATTTTGAGGTTACTCTTGAGCAGTGACCCAGGAGAGGAGGTGCTCAGCGTTTGGTCAGCTAAAGTCTCCATGTGCTGGAGACCTCACACCTTGAGCGGTTGGTCACTGGGCTGGCAATGAATGTGAAATCCTGTGGTGAGTGGCATGAACAGGTACAGGTTCTGGATTAGCTGGCACCCTTTATCACGCCTGAGGGGATCTGAGTCTGAGGATGTCAGCGGGTGTGTGGAAGGGGAAAAGATTTTGAAAAAAACTCAACATGGAGGTAAAATAACTGAGAATCCCTCTTCAAAGCTATCCTATCTGAAACTTGGACGGCAACCTGGTCATCACCCTTTAATGGAAGGCTGCCTGAATTTCCAGTGGAAACTGAAACCTGGAGTCTCGGGTCAAAATGATGAGTCTGACTTGGTTGCAAGCAGCAGTGCATATGGCTGTCCCCCTACAGGGCAAACCCACCCAAAGAGAAACACTCCCCCTTTTAACTGCTCAAGCACATTAGCTGAAACATCCTCTGTAATGAACAACTCTAAAATGTTAAAAGGATTAAACTAGGGTCCATCCATTTGATATAATAATGTGCTTTAAATAGTTTGGAAGGCTGCAGTATCAGGGGGAAATACTTTTGGGTACATTGTTAGTTGTGTCTAATGATTATGACTTTAAAATAGGTGTTTTTTCTCTTTTAACAATTCCTTTAATATAAGGATATGAGATGAGTTACTGAGCTCTCTGAGCCTTAATCTCCTCAACCAAACGGTGCCAATTCCTGTGCCTCAGGGTTGTGAGGATGAAATGAGCACAACCTAAGTTCTAAGTGCCCAGCGCAAACCCAAGGCAATGAGTGCTCTAACTGCTGTCCACTCTGCCCACCATTTAGTGGGCCACAGCCTCTTCCCCAAGGGAACTGCTGCAGTGAGCAAAATAACTCTGGTGAGGAAGAGATGGGAGCAGTCTCTGCAATGAAGGGCACCTGGCTGGCCCGAAGCCTTTGGTGTTCCTCACTAGCTGCCACTGACCCATCAAGGGGGAGGCTCTCCACTGTACCCTGCATCCTCCAGATGTCTCCCCTCATCACAACTGGGTACTGTACCCAATCCTCCTCCTAGTATCCAAGCCTAGCATTGGGGACAGGGGGTGAGGTCAAGGAACCCAAACAGCAAAAGAACATTCCAGTGGGCTCAGGAAATGGAAACCTCTGGAGGGAAGAGGTTCCCAGCCAGGAACAAAGGGGAAGACACGTGCCTTCCTCTTGGCCTCCGAAGCAAAGTAAGGAAGCCCAGTGCCAGTGAGCCTCAGGTCTTCCTTCGCTCTGGAATGCGTGGGTAAGCTGACTCGAGCTCAGCCACAAGATCCCAAGCCCACAAATGCCAGTCACCTGACAGATGTCGCCTCAGTCACAGTGGGGTCTATGGGGGAACAAGGCCTATGAACTCCAATCTCAAGGATTTTGGACTTCACATACCTGTGGTCTCCTTTCTCTCTCCAGTAACATCACCACATACAAACATGCCAAGTTCTTTAATTGATTTTATTTTTTACATAAAAAGTTCAGTAAAAATTGAATAAAGTAAAGTGATTTTAAGCAGTAAATCAATCTTATCAACATAGCACAAGGCTGGCCGAAACCACAAGGCAGCCTGCTTTGGAATATTTACATGATAACAAATTAAACCTTGCAGGAAAACTTAAACTGTCCTTTCAAAGTCTTCCTGTGATCCTAGCATGGAGAGGCTAAAAGCAAAAAAAACAAAAAAACAAAACCACAAAAACCAGGAAAAAACAAATTATTTTCAATATATTCACATATACATTAAAATATAATACAGATCATCAGGGTAAGGGGTAATGGGGAGGGATGCGCATGGATCTGTGCGCTGACAGCACCGCCAAGGAGACCCAGGTTTGAGAGTGGGATCAGGCCTGGCCCAGGTCTTAGAGAAAAGGGTCTTCCATAAGCCCTCGCCTCTGCTGGCCTCTAACAACCATACCCCAACAGCTCACAACCAGGGATCACTTGTTATAGATGGAGCTCATTTTTGTGGCTTTCAGTTGAAATCTGCAGGTTTGAATTCCCCAGGGCGATGTGTCATCAGTAGCACAGCCCTGACAGTGGGGTGGGGCAGAGAGGACCCGCAGGACTTCTCCCTAGAGTCTGTCCCCCTTGGTCACCCGTCCTCCCACCCTGGCCCCGTGAGTCACTCTAATTCAGTGTCCTCTTTGGGTTTGTAAACAGCCCCAAACTTCTGCATATACTTCTTAATGTACTCCTTGGTTTTGTGTTTCACATTCTCATTGCACTCCAGGTCCTCTGGGTTCTTACAGTACTTCAGCTCCTTATTCATAACACCGTGAGTCAGCTGTCCGGGACACAGAAAGACAGACCACCAATCAGAGTGGAAATGATTTCGGGGGGTTGAGGCCAGCCTGCTGCCTCAGGGCCCTTCTCACCAAGACTGGGAAGGAGATGGGTTGGGGATGGGATCACCAGAAAGGGGAAGCTCAGCTCTGGTAGTTTCCTAAAGAGCCACTACCCTCAAATAAGATGTCCTCCCTTCCCAAACCTTCCCTCCCTGTTCTTGGGTCCCCAGCCCGGGCATCTGGCAAGGAAAACCCACTTTCTATGATGAAAGGAGCCTTCTTGGAAGGTATACAGTTTGCCCAGAACACTGTCAGACCACAAGCAGGTGGGAATACCTTTCGAGCTAGGTGTTTGAAGTCTTCAGTTGTGGTAATTCTTCCCACTTTGCAGTCAGGTTTCCGATAAGGGTTCAGGCACTGGACGATGAACTGGGACATCTGCAGGCAGGGGAAAGTAAACACACTATTCATTGGTCCAGAGAGGGCAAAAAGTTGTACTGAGTAAAGAGAAAAGGCAGCAAGTACAGCCAGCCAATCCTCCCTATTTCCTCACTCAGGATGCTACTTTGGACAGAAGGATGCTATTATACCAGTGGGATGTAAGAGAAAATGATCCTGGGTCTGCCCTGAAAGGAAAGAGCTCCCTTGGACGGACTGAGCAAGCCTGACTGAGTGCAGCAGGAGGAGGGATCCAGCGGCAGGATTCTAGTGCTGAATATCTCATGGCAGTCCCAGGTATCAGCTAACAAATCTCATGTCTTTAGACTGCAGCTTAGTTCTCTGGTTCCTGAAGGCAGATCAGAGAGGGCATCCCACTGCTACCAGGAGGCTCAGCAATCCAAGGAAATTGCAGGCATTTTGTTATCAAAGGTTACCTGGATTCTGCAAAGTGCTACACTTCACTTGATCCATATGGTAGAATGTGAAACATGGTATGACAGTTGGTGGGAGAAGCCGCAGGGCGGCATCCCTTTCACTACACAACCTCCATTGTACTTCTGAGATGTCTCTGTAGTGTGTGTCCTACCCAGCAGCTCTCAAGAGACCCAGGCATAGGACCTCCGGAAGAATCTGTGGGACTCAGATCCCAGGGAACAAAGGGAGTGAGGTCAATGATGGCCACTTCATCAGGAGCACCTTGGACAGTGATCTACCTATACCTATGAAACTCAGTGAGCCTTCAGCTCTTCAGACAAGGCTGTAAATATATCACAAGGTAGGCACTAAATAAAACAGCTGACGGTTGACTTAGCTGAAACAGTAGTAATTTCACACAGGGAAAGTGAGAAACTAAGTTTTATCTCTAGATAAGGCTTTTACTCAAAGATCTGCTGTGGTATATTCTAGCTTCCACACACTTTCCTTTCAATCTACTTCCCCAATTACACTCAGGGATTTCATTATCCCCAGCTTGAAAAACTGCAAAGGTTCTCTGTAACTCACACGCACAAAGGCTCTATGTGAACAAGCACAATACTGTTTAGCTTCATCCTCTAATGCTCCTCACATCCCTGTGCTACATACAGCCCTTGGACTACTTACAATTCCCTGGAAGGGACGATACTTTCCTTTGCCTCTGTACCTGCAGTTGCCTGAAGTTATGTCCCTCCTGATCTATCTGGTCAAAGAGCCCTTCCCACCACCCTGAAGAGTGGCCTCGGGCCCTAGTGTGGCACACTC